TCACATATTCTCAATTAAGTCACGTATTTTGAAATAAATGTGTTTATTGTCCGAAATGATTACCCTTTTTACTACGTTGATAAAGGCATAACAATGATTTGTATTTTCTTGTATATACATAATGTTATAGTTAAAAATGGTTACCTTTGTCAAGATGTGTTATGCAAACATATAAATAAAGCATATTTTCATTTACAAACATAACTCATCCCGAGATGGTAAAATGGTTGCGCAAGATTTTTTGCATGTTAACCGCTTCGTATGATAGATATAACAAAAGCAAGGAGTTTATAGTAAAAGATTGATGCTTTCACACGATTTTAACCATGTGTTTACTTGTACCTCCCCCCCCCCCCCTAAAAGTGTTAAAAAAGCATTGAAAAGTGTAGTGATAGGGGTATGAACTCACTTGGTAAGAGTGACAGTTTGATGAAGATGATGCTTAACTCGGGCAGCACTTCGACTGGAAAGAAGCAAGTTTCTCAGGAACTTTGGAACTTTAGGCTTTCGTCAAGGCTTGGGCACGTAACCGGGGCGTCGGGGTAGTCTCGGGATGCTTAACACAGAGTAGAAGTAGGAGAGGTGATAGAAATGAGCAGCCAAACTCGGAACCCTCGACTTCTATTTATAGGGTGCATTTTCTAAGTTCACGTCGTGAACATGAAGTTGTTCACGTCGTGAGCTCGATCTTATCTCCTCCGTAGAATCAACGACTGATAGCCCGACTCTGGTACACATCCGTCAGCAGCTCACGTCGTGAGCTTCTGGTTCATGTCGTGAGTTTCCTGACAGTGTGGGGTTTCGTGTCCCAAACTTTAGAAATTTATATCTCTCGCATACGAGTTCTGATTTTGACGTTCTTTATATCCACGCATAGGTAAGATTATGCTCTACAACTTTCGTTTAGATTACGTTGGCTAATTTTTACTTTATTTTTAATATTAAATTTTTAACAGGCCGGGACTGGAAAAGTCCGTTAAAAATCCATAACTTCTTCATCCGACGTCTGTTTTTGTCTGTCTTTTTACCATTGTATTACTATTGTCGAGGTTTTCGATTCTTGTTTAGATGGCTTTGGCTAAAAGTCGTTCGATCTCTATTTCGAGTTTTTAGCTGTCTACCGTTATATCCGAAACTTAGAAAAATCATAACTTTCTCATACGAAGTCAGATTTAGACATTCTTTATATATGTTTACGGTTTAATGATATCTACGAATTTTATTTAGATACCTAAGTCTAAAAAGTATTTTATTGAAATTTCGCGTTTTATGCTTAACAGTTATTTATCGGTTGTGTTGCGGATCTTCGATTGGTCATAACTTTTTCATTATAACTCGGATTTTAGTGTTCTCTATATTTTTGAAAACCTTGTTACGACATTTACCACTTAGTACGTTTGAATTAGGATTTTTGAACATTTCATTTTTTGACGCTATTTTTATTATTTCAAAAATAGGTTACAGTATTCAACTTTAAGTCATTACATTGACTTGAAATATCGGGTTGTTACATACTCGAAGTACCTGAAACCAAAACTAAAATTGTAAGAACGAAGCTTAGTCAGCCTCCCTAAACTACCACATACCATACACATAATCACATAACAACATACACAGGGCCAAGCCCACTACATCGGGCCCCGCCCGGCATCGGACGAATATGACATCAGGCCCCGCCTGTCATCGAGCCCCACTCGGTATATAGATCTGTTACTACCAGGCCTCGCCTGTCTCTAGTCCCCGCCCGCTATATGTATACAGATAATACATATAATCATGCTAGTACATAAAAGTCAAACACAACACTATAACTGTTAGTCTCAAGGCCCCACCTATCTTGGTCCCCGCCCCTACTTTGCCAATAATAAGATATGGAACCCCGTCCACGCTCAGCTAATGATAAGCTACAGGACCCCGCCTATACTCACCTCCCTACCAGGCGCATACAAGTATCATAAAGATAACAAGTATAACTAAACAGACATTCCTTCCTCGGGTACCACCCGACATCGAACCGTAGTTCGGAAACATACATATGAACCTTCCTCGAGCCTCGCCCAACATCAGGCCAAAATTCGGAAACATATAAGCTACATCGGGTTAACCCCGACATCGAATCTATATCCGGCATACACTAACATACATAAACGGGCCGGCATTGGTGCCTTCGACCCGTTCCTACTAGAGAAAACTCACCTCACAAGCTAACAGTAGAATCCCACGAATAGACCTCTCGCTGCTAGCTGGCAGATACCCGAACTGTTGATCTCTAGACTCCACAAGCTATGATTACCAACATAATACTTAGTCAAAATCTAATAATCCTTCTTAGGGTAAATGACCATTGTACCCCTGGTCCAAGTCAACATTCTAATTAAAGTCAATGTTTTGGGTTAACTCAACTCATCGAGTTGCTCCATCAACTCGCCGAGTTCTATAAATCAGAACCTTGAAATCGCGATCCAACTCGTTGAGTCACCCCCTTAACTCACCAAGTCCCATGGCTAGTTAGCGAATCAACTCGTCGAGTCCCTTCACAGACTCGTCGAGTTCTACCTTAAACTAGATCGGGACATAACGACTCAACTCGTCGAGTTCCTCTATGGACTCAACGAGTCCCTCATTCTGATTGGGCCATCTTAATAAATTAAGCCTCTACTCTCGAGATCCAAACTCCATACTTCTTCTACATACTGAAAGTGCCCAATTAAGGGTAAAGTTTCCAACTTTACCCATTAATAGTCCTTCCTAATGGGTTTAGCTCAAACCCTAGTTCTTCAGGACATAGATCTTTGTCCAAAAGCCATAATACTCCAAACCAAATCATGAAAACTGAGATCTAGGTCCTAGACACCGAATGAACACGTAAATGTCCTAAATTTCCTTCCATGCATAGCCTTTTAGGCTTAAAAGGCCATAATAACACCTTATAGCTTGCATAGGGCTTCCATGGTCATAAAGTTTGCACCTTTATGCCATGAAACCCCTTCTAAACCCCAGATTTGAAAGGTAAGTCACTTAGGATGTCCATTTCCCAAGGACTAAGCTTCTTAGACCGAAAACCCTCATAAAGTGAAAATAAGAATATCTAAGAAACTACTAGATAAGTTAGAGGCTTGATTACCAAAAAAGGATGAGGGTGAGATGTTACTTATGGATCTACAATCTTCTCTTGGAATCCTCTAGCTTCTTCTTCTACAAGCTTCAAATCACACAAAGTTCACTCAAAATGGCTCACAAGCATTATGGTTTCGAGATCTATGGTTTGGGACTTGGAGGCTGGAAATGAGGCCATAAGGTGGGGATTAAGATTCTTAAATAGGATGCAAAACCTCGAATTTAGGGTTTCCCAAACCCGGACCAACTCATCGAGTTAGTCCTCCTCAACTCGTCGAGTAGGTTTCTCAACCCGCGTCCAAAAACTTATTCCTACTCGTTGAGTTATGCCCCTTGGACTCGACGAGTTGACCTTCAATTTTCTCATTATCTTTCCTTAATTAGCCTTCTAGTTTCCGGGTGTTACGTAAATTTATGGTTTTAAGGAAAGAAAGTCAAGGGTTTGGAGTGTGTTTCACTAAATTTAACTAGCTAGTTACATACATAACTAAATGGTTGCTCAAAGTTTCTACTTATTTGTACATGACATTTATATTCATACCTTATGAATATAACCAGTTTTTGTTCTCTTTTACTAACATTTCCTAGAATAATAATTTCCTAATTAGTTGTTAAAATATTATTTTCACAAAATAATAATTCTTCCATTAAATACAAGTGTTGATTATATTTATTAATAATCAAATTACCCTAATAAATATTCAATAAGTAGTAACTTGTTATAAGCTGTGACCATATATGATTATATTCCATTAGCAAATATCATTCTATAATGACTTTTTGGCATAAAGATCTTTCAAAAAATAGAGGCCCAATGTGTTTGTTGTTGGAACAAAGCCAGTAGTTATTATTGGATCAGAAGTAAGTTGGTGATGCTCTTCCTCGACTACGACTTTGGCCGCCACAATATCCTCCCCGACCGAAGCCGCAATCACACATGGTATATGTCGCTAAATTGGCCATGACCACCCAATTGTGGTTTACAGGAAGGTAGGGTCGGTGGTGTTGATGTTGTGTCATTGAGTGGTAATAGCATTCTGAGTAATGGTCTCTTGTTTGGAACAAGGAGTTTCTCCTAAGGGAAATTGAGATCTTGGTTTATTAAAATTTGGAGGGGGTTCACATTGCAGAATTATGGTAGCAATAGTATCATAATTTCATTTTGCAAGTCCAACAAGTTGAAGCATCATATATGTTTTAGAAATTTGGTTTCCAAACGTTGGCAAGTTGATTTAATAAAATCTTGAGGTGAGCATAGTAATTTGAAATATTGAAAACAGATTCTAATCTTGTTAAGTTGAATTGCTCTTGAAAGTAGTAGAAGGCACATGTAGCTTTATTGTCTTTGAAGATTTCTTGAAGTCACTTCCCATATATGTGTTGTAGATCATTGGAGATCGTGTTGTAGATCCATCGTTTGATGACTACATAGATTCCAGGTTGTCGGGTCAGTGTCATTAATGTTATCTAATACGTTACATACACAAACATGAATGGAACAATCTACCCATGTCGCATAGTGGTCATACGTTTTGAATTTTGATCTAGACTTAATTGGGTTTTTTATGTAATGATTGTGAAAGCAGGATGGAAGTTGTTCTTGTTGGAATCGGTACATTTGTTGGTTCGTGTTGTGGTTACTTCGAGAAGAAGAAATCGAAAAGGGGAAAACGGAGGGAGGTTAAAAGGTTAAGAGAGAAAGGTGTGCTTGACTCCATAAATATTGGTAATTGGTAAAATTGGGTGCCTTCGTTGATAACCAAGGATATTTCTACAAGAGGAATACACAATAAAAGAAAAGTATATATATATATGAAGAATAACATCTACAATGAATATATACATATCTATACAAAGTAGGTTGCACAACTTAATCCTTCCTTTTATTCGTTCTTATCATCTAAAAATTCAGGATCCTTAGGCTTTGGCACTGGGCTTCGAATTACATCATCAACATCAAATGCCCGACCCTTTCTTATGCTTGTTGCCAATAATGATAAACCGGCTCCCTTTCTACTTTTAGACGTGAGAGGAGTCTCTTTAGCCTTGAGCATTGCCGACTCTTTTCGTGTTTTATACCGTTTCCATGCCGCTTGTATAAAACAAGCCGCCCAAGTCCTCCACTGATGCGAATGAACCCTAAGAGTATGTCGCAGTTTCTTGCTATGAAGCTTTCGAAACTGTGTAGCGACAAATTTCAAATCGTTATAAGTGAGAGCGAAAGCTTCAACCTCAGAAATGGCGGTGACTGTGCGTGTAGATAATGGGATGATAACACTCGGACGTGGGTCCAGTGACCACGTCAGCAGTTCTTCTCCACAGAAGTCTCCCGGACCAATCTCGCACTGGTTCAAGAAACCGGACCTACCACCGCCGGTGGTGTAGGAATCTAAACGACCTCGCATTATAAACAGCATCTCGTTCGTCTGATCCTCTTCTCGAACTAAACAAGTCCCAGGTATGCATATAACAGGTTTTAGTCTCTCACATATCGCATCCACTGTTCGTTCATCCATTTGATCAAATAACGGAACCTGTTTAATCAACATAATCAATCATTTGAGCTGAAAAATATGAACAGATCAAAGAAATATTAAGTAATAACTTGTGACTCAACTCACCCGTCTGACTAACTCAGCGCAAACATAACGTTTGACGTCTCTCCGAAGATCTACAGGAAGTGCTCGAATAATCTCTTCTTCATCAACCCCACGAGTTGTAATCCATTTGTAAAGATCATGTCTGCGTACACGTTCCCTCATTTCCTGTGGGAGGTGTCTGTGATGCATCCATTGTTCAGTATCCATTCGTTTCACCCTATACTCCTCTAATCGTTTAGTTCTTGACTCCAGATATTGCTGCTCTCAAAACAACATAAATTTCGTTAATGTTTATACCCAAGTCGTCAAATGAAGCTCAAAAAGGAACTCGACTTACTTGCATGTTTCCGATCAGCAGTGCAAATAGCACTAGTCCGGTGATCCCGATAAGTATGCAAAAGTGTGTTTCTGCTATAAATGGACTCGCTTGAAGTTCTTGTCCTGCTGAACTGCAAAACTCAAACAAATAAACAAAAAAATGACTTTTTTGGCAAATGGGTTTTCAAGATTTTGGTTTTTTTGAAGGTTTACCTTAAGCCTCGGAGTCCCCACCATAGACAATATGAGTATTTTTTAAAGAAATTTGCAGAAGCGATACTGTAACGTACTGAATCTTCAACCAATCCATACTGAAAGATGTCAGCATTTGTACATATAACAGAGACATTGCTGTTGGGAAACCAAGCTTCTCGAGGGAGGAGATTGACATTACGACAGTCGAAATAATTATGCATGCATTCGGTTTCTTTATCGCATATCTCCACCCAACATAACCCTTGTCTTTCAATGGCTAAAAGATACCACATTGCTCCGATAACCTAATTCACAATAGTACAATCAAGATTTTGAATCTTATAACCTTATCTTTGAAAAAAGAGAAATACGGAAGATTTGATAGATCGATAGATGAATTACATGAGCAGCCAACATGAAAAGAACGAGATTGTAAGCAGCCCCAACCCAAGCTACATTAGCCACAAGACCAGCTTGCTTTGATATTTGAGACCCTAGTCTAAATGTAAGACAAAGCCTTAGAACGAATTGAAACATGATAAAGTATAAAACGCTCGTTTTTGTACTTATCATCTCGGTTTTTTCAATAATGTGGAACCAAGTCATTACCTGAAATATATAGCAGATTATCTTTTAGTTAGATATGCGGAGTCTTCGATTAGATTCATAGAGACATGTACATACATATAGAGACATAGTATATAATTAACTAATTGTAGCGAAGAATACCTGTGGTACAGGAAGTGTAGCCATGAGGTCGAGCCAAAATTCACCACTTAGATACTTCTGAGAAATACTTGAAGAGTCGAGAATGAGCTCTCCTCTTCCAAGTAAGCGGGAAGAAGGTGCCACGTAAGCAGTATGAAACCGAATGTAAATCTTGATTGCATAAAAGATATCAACGATTGAACGTATGATAGTGAGGGATATTTTGAGGTTAATATCTTCATCTAGACACATTCCATCTTTGATTATCGGCAAGTAAAAGAAGAGAGGGTCTACAGCAAGTGAAACAAGAGCTGCAATTAGAAAGACTTGATTCCATTGACTCAAAGTTGTGCCTCGAGGATCAAGAATTGTGTTTTTGGTTTTTACGTAGTCCTCTGAGAATACTCTTGAAAGCTTTTTCGTGATTTTTGGATCATCTTTCTTCAAGGGAAGTGGAGTATTTGGCTCTGGGGTTTCCACATCAGCATCGAATCTGGGAGAGAGAAAAAAAAACATCAAAATTATGAATCATTGAATCACATGAACATATGACGTTAATCGTGTTAAATAGAGAGATTTAATTTTATTACTTGATATATCGTCTCGAACTAGACATTGATCTTAAGTAACACAAACTGCCGAGTGTTGAACTTGGTTTGCTTTGGACTGTTTTATAGAGAAAATGAAGAAAAGATAGAGATGAAGAGAAGGGTGTATTAGGAAATTGGCAATTTCTGTGGACTAAATGAAAAAGTTTTGAGAGTTAAATTAACTTTCAAGCATGGAAAGTGATCTTATTAAAAAGAGTTTTGAGTTGTTCTTATTTTTGTCTATTGTTCTTTTCAACAATAAACTTGCTAGAAAACAGGAAGATAAGTACAAGAAAAGGAATTTATAGAATTATAGATACAAACCAAGATATCATATTATCATTTGACAATGAAAGTCTGATCCTCTTCTTTTCCATGGATCAGGAATATTTCCGAAACATAGCATTAAAATTTGAACATTTGACCAAATTATTTACCACAATGGTGATAGGCAAATAGATCATTTTAATTGTGGAGTTTCTTGAGTATTCTTCATGACAAGTGGACAAAAAGGGATTTAATGAAAGAGACTAATTAACCACAATCAAGAACAAGAATTTTCTAATTTCATAGTCAAATGGCTTTTGGGATCTTCAGATTCCAAATCATCCTATTGACCAAAAACAGTGTGAGGATACTACACATAATGTTGATAAAACGGTTGTTAGTAAGGGCATCCACACTGTATTGAACTCCATAGAATTTAATGGATTGCCACATCATCATTCTTAAATTCATACAACTTTATTATTGTTTTCTCTACAATGCATTGAACTC